GCAAAGTCTTGGCCAAATGTCAGGTAAGCACAAAACTTTTTGTTCATTTTTTTTTCCATATGTAGTTGGAGGAATCTTTAAAAAAAGTGAATAAAAAAGTGCTAACAAAGTGACAAAGGGAAAAGGCACTGTGCTGGTGGGAAGCTTTCTTGCTTTGAAAAGCAGACACCCAGTGTTAAAATATAGCAGGCTGTCTGTATGGTTCGGTGGTTGGGGTGCTTTGAAGGAGATTGGCCCCACAGGCTCATACATTTCAATATTTAGTCCCCAGGTGTAGAAATATTTGGGAAGGATTAGGAGGTGTGGCCTTGTCCTAGGCGGTATGTCAGTGGGGGTTGGCTTTGAGGCTTCAAAAGATTCTCAACATTCCTACTTAGCTCCCTCTCCCTCCCTCCCTCCCTCTTTTGCTCTCTTTCTTTCTCTCTCCCTCTCCCCACCCGCCTCCTACATACAGATTAAGATATGAGAAGCTATCCCTGCTGCCATGCCTTTGCCCGGCCATCATCGACTCTCTCTGAAATTCCCTGCTGCCATGTTGACTCTGCATCACTTTCAAGCAAACGTCCTGCCTTTCATTTATTAGTGGGCACCTATGGAACTATATAGCTGGTCCTTTTTAGGTGTGTATGAGCCACTAAATCATCTTATCTGTTAGTTTACACCCCCAAGTCATTTCAGGAAAACGTGGCATGATCATCCCCACAAGTATGTGAACAGTAGCACAACATCAGCTACCTCGGTGACCACTCTGAGGGGTTCAGAATGCGCCTTCTATTATTTCTCCGCAGTTAGAGTCATCCCAAAGGCACACAACGCCTTGAAGGTTAATTATCCAGAGCTAGTTTCAAGTGATAAACCCAGGCCCAGGCCCTTGGATTCTGGGACATTGGACTTGTACAAGAAAGTAAGCTTGGCTAGAACTCAAAACCACCTCTTCCTGTGGCGCGCACACAAACCAAGCCTCCTCTTTTGTAGTTTGAAGGAATGGTAGCCGCTTTGTTGGATTGTTGGTAACATTCAGTGAGATGCCATGTATACTATTACTATAAGTACTAAGAGCTCTATATGAAAATAGCTTCTACATTACTGTAATATATGATATTCTCTCTTGCCTCCCTTTCATCTTGACTTGCCTGCTCAGTCTAACCCTTTGCCAAATGTTATTTTCTATAAATGATTTATTAAATTGATAGATGTTATTCTTTTTCTCCAAATATGAACCTCATTTGGAAAAGTCAAGAACCTTTCTTGTGGAGTCTTTCATGGATTTTACAAAATGTTCAGCGATATAGTTTGAGCCTGACTGGATGAAAGAAACAAGGGAAGGCATTGCAAAAGAAGCCTTTAAACAGACAGACTTAAAAGAGAATCACCATCTCTTTGCTTTGCCTATGTTAACCCCTGAGAAAGTGCACCATTTTCCATTTTTTAACTAGTGCCTATTGATTGCTTGAAGCGCCATTGGGAAAGGTCAGCCCTTGTCTGGAAGGAGGCTGGCTGCCATAAATGCCAGGATGTTGAAGAATGGCGGCCGCTGGGAGAGAACACAGTGAGAAGGATGTTCCCCCCAGACAGCCTGACTATTAATCAAGAAGCAAAGCATCACTGGACAGCATCTCCATCCTTCCCTCTTCTGTCCTCTGAAGCTATGGAGCAAATGTCAACCCCACTTTTGTGAAGGGACAGGGCACTGCTGTGCTGTCTCCTCCTGAGGCTCTGTGGTGACAGGATATGGCTACACAGGGACCCCAAGCCACCAGTGCTGTCCTCAGAGTTCTGCATGCACAGCATTCACGCGGTAGGATAGGATTCCCTCAGGGGTCTCCACCTCTTTTACATTTTAAACTTGACAGTAGGCTAGGGTCTACCTCTTTCTGCTTCCCCAATGCTGGGATTGCAAGCATCCCTCCATACCAAACATTTTTTCACATGGGGACTGAATTTAGGTCCTTTACTTGCAAGATGCTTACCAACTGAGGCATCTCCCCAGACCTACATCTAGTCTCTTGAAAATTAACTTTCATTGTAATATAAACATAATGTAAACATATCTGCATGTACATTAAGTGTCCAATTACCCAAGCCCTCGAGGACCATTTCTCATCCAAAGCACTAACGCCCTCACCGAATTAGTTAAACTTCTTGTTAATAATGTTTAAAGCTTTTTCCTTCACCCCACAACACCTGTTCCCTGCAAGCCAAGTTACAGGTGGGCATGGTAAGACACCGTGGTACTCATCGGTACAGTAATCCAGATCGGAAGGTGGGGCTTCCAGAACCAGGGTTCCAGGGCACGCAGACCTGGGCTGCAGCTCCAGCTGGGTGACACCGGATAAGTCTTTTGACCACAGGTCTAAATGCCATGAGACCAACCAGCCACAGACCGAATCCTCCAAAACCGTGAACCGAAATAAGCCTTCTCATCTTCACACCATGTATCTATCTCAGGGGTTCGGTGCAATGCTAGAAAACTGTGCTGGGTACTTTTCCTGTTTCTGTGACCAAAATGCCTGACCATGAGCAATTTAGGGGAGGAAGGATTTATTTTGCCTTGTGGTTGGAGGAGGCACAGGTTTGCCGTGGTAGGGAAGGCATCCTGGCTGGAGCAGCTGGGTCCGTGGAGGCAGGAGCGGAAAAACTGCTTACCCATATAGCAGGGGATCAGGAAGCAAAGAAAATAAGCTGAAAGCTAGGTTGGGCTGTACTGTCCCTAGTGAACGATTTCCTCCACCTGATCCTACCCCCTAAAGCTTCTACAATCTCCCAAAACACTACCACCAGCTGGCGACCAAGTGTTCAAACACGCTTTACACACTCAAACTACAACACCTATAACTCACTAAGCACCATCTTTAGTGTCTGGACATGAGGGTGCTATTCGGACCTGTGAGGACCAAAGGAGAGAGGTGGTCACCTTAGCCTCTGGCTTGAGACTAAGTAAACACTCTATGCCTGCTCATTACTAGTTATTTCATCATGCTTGGTTCTGAGATAGCTTCCTGTCGCCGGCTTCCTGGATCCTGCATTGGAAACCAGAAACCAAATACCCTGAAGCTTCCTGAGAGCTGGATATGGAGGGAGGAAAGGTGGCCTAGAGTTTTGACCACCACCTCCTCCTCCACTTTCCAGGCAGTTACAGCCGGGCATGTGAGAGCAGGAGCCCAGCCTCTGCCCCTGTGGCTTCCTGCACTCGAACGGGACATAGTCAGCCTTCCCTGAACGGACGAAGGGTCACACTCCCAGAAACGTCACAGTCCCCATGATGTCACTCCAGTGCTCTCATATTGCAGCACCAACCACAGGGGCCCTGCGCGCACTCCGCTCCGTTGGAACGGTGAATGGTGACGTGGCGCTGACGCGCACACCTCTGGTGAGTGAGCAAGCCCATTAGGAGGGAAGGCAGCTGGGAAATACAGGAACTGGGCCTCCCGAGCAACCAGCAAACGGAGCCCTCTGGGGTGTCCACGCAGCACCCCTCTCTACCCCGCGGTGCCTTTTCCTAGTCTAAAGGTCCGTCCTAAACCTGAGAATTTCCCCTGCACTGACTCACCTGCTTAGCCGTTCCCCTCTGTGCACTCACTCATGTCATCAAACACAGCTGGTCCATTTGTCCCTCCACCCCCTGCTATGGGCCTCATTGGCAAGAATGGAAAAAAACACACACGGTTCCCCGGAGAGCAGCATTCGGTCAGATGCTGCTATGGCACCGGAGAGAAGGGAGATGGCCACATGATATCCCAGCAAACCAGAGGCTGCTCAGACTGAGCAGAGGACATTTGTCAAGGTCTGAAGGCCAGATTCCAGCCCAGGGGCTCTTGGGGGTTCGGGAAGAAATAAATCTCAGCGTTCAATAATGATGACATTTGTATTCGCCTCTTAAGACAATAATCAACACTTGGCCACATCTGTCCTCACGTGTGGCAGGATCTCTTTCTCATCTCCATAGAGAGTTGACAGGCAGCCTGACAATCCGGGGAAAGACACAATTCAGTGGTATTTAGTTTCTTGTGAAGATCAAAGGTCTGACCATCTCAGTACACACGCCTCTGATGTATGGGGAGAGAGGCAGGGGTCTTTCTGGAGAACCTGACGTGATTCCCACTTCACTGCCAGGCTCCCAACAACAGGTCCCCTGGGGGACAGTGCAAACACAGAGGCCTGGATTGTACTTTGTCCTTTTATGTAACATGTGAGCATTTGGGTGTTTCGGGAGTGCCACTGTTCTCTAGACAGATTGACTGAAACATGGGAACAGAACCCGAAATGACTCCTGTGCCAGCCAGGCTGGTGCTGTGGGCAGAGAGGCCCCTGCCAGCCGCTGCTCACAAAGAGATCCATACAGCAGTAAAGATAAGGGGAAACCATGTGGTCGAGTGCTGGCTCTCCGCACACGCCTTTCCCAGGGGAGAAATGTTCCAAAGATACCACAAATAAGTGCCCTTTGATTGTATTTTGCGGTTTTCTTTTAAGAAATAAAAATGATTTCCCACTGAGCAGAAAGGATGGATTCTGGTATGCTCTGGTGAGTACTGGCGTCACCATTACTTATTTATCTGCATGCTGGAGAGGAATCTGCCTTAGTCCTGGGAGGTGCCGACGCCATCTCCTTTCACAGGGGCAGGAATCGTTTCAGAATATCATCTTGGCTAGGCTCTTTTTTAAATGTCACTGTGTGCACAGTGGTTGTGTGGAGACAGAGGATAATTTCGGGTACTGGTTCTTACCACCCATCTTTTCAACAGGTTCCCTAGTCGTTTGCCATTGTACACAGCAGGGTAGCTGGCCCATGACCTGCCTATTTCTACGCTTATCTCTCCGTGGTCATGATGGGATTACACACTCATGCTGCCACTCTTGGTACTGTGGACTCATGCTCTGTGATTGCGCAACTCAGTCCAAAGATGCAAAAGTAAGCAAATAAATAAAACCGCCCCCACCTCACGCAGTTCTAAATAAGTTTACAACTTGAACTTTGTGCCACAGCTCCTGTGGGTCACAGCTTGGGTACGCCAGACAGAACATCGCACAGCTGAGTTCAAGTTCTACTTCTCTTGCGTTCACAGCCACTTATATCTTCTTCAGTTATTCCTACCTGACATGGTTTCTGGACCAGCCGGGCTCCGTTTGTCTTTGTGTGTGTGTGTTGTATGTTCCTGAGGGAGTGTGTATACAGGTTGAAGCCGTTGTCCAACGTCTGGTGTTCTCCTTGGTCACGCTCCATCTCATGTTCGGAGATGAGGTCTCTCATTGGGTCTGGAGCTCACCCGTTGAGCTGGGCCAGCTGACCAGATGTCTGCCAGTCTCTGTGCTCCCCCTCCTCCGCCAGACCAGGGCTGCAGCTGTGAGCCCCCGCACCCAGCTCTGCACAGGTGAGTGCTGAGGACCAAATGCAGGTCCTCACGACCCTTATCCACTGCACCGTCTCCCCAGCACACACTCTTTTGTCTTTGATTATTACTTTCCTTCAGTTCGCTCATGATTTTGTTATTGTTCCCTTATTCACAACAGATCTTTTTCTTTCCCCCTCTGCCCTCAACTACCATGCTATTGCTGATATTAGGAAACCACATGTCTAACTAATGGTATGTGAGGCTACTGCCCTTTTTATTAATATCAAAACCAAATACGATTCCCACTCCTTTGTATTCTGACCACAAGCAGACAATAGTTTTGTTTTGTTTTTAAGAAAACTTAAAATCAGTTAAAAACACCATGAGAGACTGAATCCACTATTGATTCCTAGTCCTAAGATACTAATGAACGGATCCTCTAACTTATGCCTGGAGGGCTGGTAGTTTAGCTGTGTTGAAATCACATTCTCTAGAGAGAAGCTTGTCTTTGATGTATGTTTTCAGTTATAGCATGAGGTCATCGTTGGAACTCAGCACAGAGGGAAGCCGAACACTCTCATCCACTCGCAAGTTGTTCTGTCTCCTTAAAACAAATCGCAGCTCGGTAACTCTTCCACCCTATGATCCTAAATTCCATCAGCATGCCAAAGATCCCCAAATTTATATCTGCAGCGCAGACCACTTCCTGAACTCCAGACCCATTTATCCACCTGCCTGTCATCTCCCCACAGACGTCTGCTGACCATCTTAACCCTGGTCTATGTGAGAGGAACTCCTGACCCTCACGTGAGCCTCGCTCACCCTGCTCCACGGCTGATGGAGCCAAAGTCCTTAGCCCTCCCCTGTCCTCACTCCCTCCACTAAGCAGAAATCCTCCTGGTTGCCTTTAAACTGTGTCCCCAATCTGACCGTACCTCACACATACCCTGCCCCCCCCCCCCCCGTCTGCGATGCCACGCTTTCTCATCTGAACCACTGCAATCTGCTCCTCACTGGTCTTATGTCCACTCATTGTCACCCACCCACCGTCTGTGCTCACTCATCACGCAGGCCCAGGGAGCTCCTGATGTGAAGGTCAGATCATGTCAGAAACCCGCTACAGAGCCCGGCTTCACATGAGGAGAAGATAAGTCTGTCCACGCCTAGACACTCACTGCATACACCAAAATGCGCATTCACACAAAAATGTGGACACTGGCATTCACTGCAGCATTAGTCACCACAGAAAGCATAAGCACCCAATGTCCAATACAAAGACATTAAAAGGAATGAATTAACAGGATAGGCCACACTATGTTCGGAGTTGGGAACATCCGGGTAAGTGAAAGAACCCCAGAAGGTATATGATTCCATCATATGAAATGACTAGAATGGGCCAGCCCACAGAATTATCATGTGCTATGCAGATAAGAGATTGGTAGGGGGACCGGAAGAGGAGGCGATGGAGTTCCTTATTATAAGGAACTACCTCTCTTGGGAGTGATGAAAATGTTCTGAAGTTAATGGTGATGGTCATGCAAGACAGAATGTATGAAAAACCACTGACGTCTAAATTTAAAGTGTAGATATGATAATTTGTGATGTTTGCGTATGTGCAGTGTGTGTGTACGGATAATGTGTGTGTGCCCAAGTGTGTAGGCACATGTGGCACATGTATGCATGTGTTACTGTGTGTGTATATGTACATGTCTGAGTGTGTGCACGTGCTGGCTTGTGTGTGTGTACATGGTTGTGTGTGTGTGTATGTGTGTGTGTGTGTGTGTGTGTGTGTGTAGGACAGAATTTAACTTCCAATGTTGTTCCTTGGGTGCCCTCTGTTTTCCTGTTGTTCTTTTGATTGTTTTGTTGCCGTTGTTGAGATGGTGTTTCTCACAAGGTCTGTCGCTCCCTGGTTAGGCCGAGCTCAAGGGGTCCTGGGGGTTCTCCCATCTCTGCCTCCCCCGTGCTCTTATTAGCAGTGCACGCCTGGCTTTTTGCACAGGTACAGAGACAGGTCACTATGGTTGGGAAGGAAGTGCTTTACTCTGAGACTCTCCTTACGGGAGCCTCCCAGCCTTGCACAGTTCGAGTCTCCTGAGCCTGTGGGACTCTTATCTCCTTTCACCTCTTCTTGCGCCACTGTGGCTTTCTTAACTCCCATGCCAGGCCTCCTCAGAAAGGTCCAGAAACCCCATCCTTGTCTCTGTCTTCGGGGAAATCAAACCTCTACACAGGCCCTGGTGACTGCATTTTTTTTTTCTTCCATAGTATTTAATTTATCACCTCAGTCTACCAAGTAATTAGGCTCTAATTATTGCATGAGTGCATGAATTCTGCATCTTTAGCTTCGTGAATGCGCCTTCCGGGTGAGGATTTAGAGCAAAGCACAGTGACTTCTTGCTGTCCACGTGAAACTAGGTCACTCCCATGGACACTGGACACTACAAAGGGGATGCTGAAGTCCTTTCAAATAAAGCGACAGTGTCTGCAAACCTGTGCATCTTAGGGGCTGTAAGTCATCCCCAGCTTAGTTATAATCCCTGATCCAGCATAAGTGCTATTTAAATAGTTGTTATTCAGCACTGCTCGGGAGCAATGACAGGCATGGCCAAAAGTCTGTCACCATCGGCACAAGCCCAAGTTCTTCTGAAGATTTTGATCCAGGATCGATTGAATCCATGGCTATAAGACCCATGGGTTCAGAGGCAACTAGATTTTATTTTATTTAGGAAAAAATGGGCTCTGATGAGAGGGTACCATGTAGACGGCTTGGCTGTGGCTCAGTTGCACAGCACTTGCAAGGACCTGGGTTCCAACCTCAGAAACACAAACCCATGCTGAAAATGAGCCAGTTTTACCGTTTGTTTCTTATGAACCAGGAACCTGCTGAATTATTCATCTTTTCCATTTTTCGTTTATTTATTTATTCCTTTGTTTATTAATTTAGTCAGTATCAGTATGGTGAGTCTGTGTGTGTGTGTGTGTGTGTGTGTGTGTGTGTGTGTGTGTGTGTTTGTGAGCACTTAAATATTTCAAAATCTTGTCACAGCACACGTGGGCATTAGGGTTTGTAACTGATGCCATCATGCCACTTGGGTGACCTAGTGGTGACAGTGTGGTACATCAGGAGCCAGCACTGTGTCATTCGGACATTTTAGCTCCTATAATTGCAGAACACATAAACACCTTTTGTTTTTCTAAAGCATGAGACAGATGGCCAGGCACGGTGACTTCTGTTTCACAGCAAACAGTTCTTACGTGCTGGACCACATCGGGGAGGCATGTATTTCTGTGTCCCCACGGAGAAGGCTTCACTAACACAAAGAAGCACACACCTAAACAGTGAGGCCTGCAAAGTAGGGAAGGCCTGCACAAGGGACTCTTCCAGGAGCTTTCCCCTTGAAGGGGAAATTGGCAGCTGACTTACCTGAAGCAGGAGGATGAAGGGACGCAGGAGGAAAAAGACCACCTAAGGCAGCCGCTCGCTTATTTAGGAAGCTGGTGATGGCTTTACCAGCATAGGGATCCATCTCCATTGGTTCACTGAATGTGTGCATTGTGAGCCCTCCACAGGCAGAGGGCTGGTCCGCACTGGGCCTCTCACAGGAGTAGAGATGGCCTCTCCCTGTCTGCCTGCTTGGTTCCGCTACCACGCTCTGCATGTTCAGCCCTCTCTGCTGTGTTTACCGTCTGTCTCCCGCTTTCACAGGGCAAGAGCTATGCAAGCAGGGAACTTGCTGCTCGTGCTCCTCTGCACCCCCACACCTGGAATCTTGCCAAACACAGAGGCACAAGCTCAATAAACACTTGTCTAATCAATTAATTAATCAATGCAAATATTACATATACAGAGATAAAAGGCCCCCACACTGCTGAGGCAAAGCCAGGGAGGGGGGAATTTCCAATACAGTAAGTCACTAATAAATACAGGCTTTCATTCCATGAGAGAACATATTTCAGTGCAGAAAAAGAAAACTCATGGTAACAAAATATACGCTGAAAACACTGTAATAATTTTTGTAAACATAACTGTCCCTTTTGACTTGACTTCTTTTTTTTTCATTTTTTTTGAGCCTTTATTTTTTTCTTTTTAATTTTTTAAAAAATATTATTTATTATTACTTAATACAATTTATTCACTTTGTATCCCAGCTGTGGCCCCCTCCCTCATCTCCTCCCAACCTCACCCTCCCTTCCTCCCTCCCTCCCTCTTCTTCCCCTAAGCCTCTTCCCCTAGTCCACTGATAGGATCTTCTCCCCTTCTATCTGACCCTAGCCTATCAGGTCTCTCATCAGAACCAGCTGCATTGTCTTCCTCTGTGGTCTGGCAAGGCTGCCCTGCCCCTGGTCAGGGGTAATCAAAGAGCCAGCCACTGAGTTCATGCCAGAGACAGTCTCTGTTCCCCTTACTAGGAACCTACTTGGAGACTGAGTCTATGGGCTACATCTGAGCAGGGGTTTTAGAGCCTCTCCATGCATGGTCCTTGGTTGGGTTATTAGTCTCTTCAGGGACACCAGGGCCCTTTTTTTTTTTTTTTTTTTTGCTCTGTTGGTCTCCTTTTGGAGTTCCTGTCCCCTCCAGGTCTTTCTTTCTCCCCCTTCTTTCATAAAATTCCATGCACTCTGCCCAAAGTTTGGCTATGAGTCTCAGCCTCTGCTTCAATACCTCGATCAGTAGAGACTTTTAGAGGTCATCTGCGGCAGGCTCCTGTCCTGTTCCTGTCTTCTGCTTCTAATGTCTATAGCGTTTGCCCTTCTGAATGAGGACTGAGCATTTTACCCAGGGTCTTCCTTGTTGTTTAGCTTCTTTAGGAATATAGATTTTAGCGTGTTTATCCTATGTTATATGTCTAGTAACCACTTATGAGTGAGTATATACCATGTGTGTCTTTCTGCTTCTGGGTTACCTCACTCAAGATGATCTTTTCTAGTTCCCACCACTTGCCTGCAAATTTCATGATTTCCTTGTTTTTAATAGCTCAGTAGTTAGTATTCCATTGTGTAAATGTACCACAATTTCTGTATCCATTCCTATTGAGGGACATCTCGGTGATTTACAGATTCTGGCTATCATGAACAGAGCTGCTACAAACATGGTTGAGCAAATGTCCTTGTTGTATACCTGAGCATATTTTGGATATATGCCTAGGAGTGGAATAGCTGGATCTTGAGGTAGCATTATTCCTAGTTTTCTGAGAAGGCACCAGATTGATTTCCAAAGTGGTTGTACAAGTTTACATTCCCACCAGCAATGGAGGAGGGTTCCCCTTTCTCCACATCCTCTGCAGCATGTGTTGTCACTTGAGTTTTTGATCTTAGCCATTCTGATGGGTTCAAGGTGGAATCCCAGGGTTTTTTGACTTGACTTCTATTCCTTGACTTCCATTGGCAGTGCCACTGCTGATCAAGAGTTTTAAATGACAATCAAGAACTGGTGTGATGGCTTGGTGGACAGGCAACTGCTGTGTGAGCCTGCATCTCTGAGTCTGTTCCCTGGGACGCACATACAAGTGGAAGGAGAGAGCGGACTCCACAAAGCTGTCCTCTGACTTCCGTGCTCTGGCAAGCCTGACCCCCCCACACACAAATAATAATAAATAATACTAAGACAGATAAATATAAAAATTCATAAGCTAAGTGTGGTGTATGTGCCTGCGATCCCAGTACTGAGAGAGAAAAAACAGGGGGAAACCTGGGGTTCCCTAACCAACCAGTCAAGCCTACTTGGCAAGGTCCAGGCTGCTGGAAGACCCTGTCCCAGAAAATAAAAGATCATATGCCACCTATGGAATGACACTGAGGTTGTGTCTGGCCTCCATACACACATTCACGATACATGCTTGTGTACACACACACACACACACACACATGCACACACAGCATGCGATACATGTACATACATGAGTTTAAGTTTAACTTTGAAAAGTGGGCTAGACTTAATTTACTAATTCTTTTTATACCGTCCTGATTGAATACAGAATAATACATCTAGAAAACAATGTAAGAATTTCTCAGTGTAACGACACATCTAGAAAACCATGTAAGGACTCTGCACTTTTTTTTCTCTTCTTTTTCCTTTTGCAAAGATGGAGATGTAATGGGGGACATCGTGCATAACAAGCCAGCTCATGACCATGGAGCAATGCCCCCCCCCCGCCTCCAGCTAAACACATCTAGCCTAAACTTCCTGAGCCAGGCATCAAGTCAAATGTGTGTGTGATACATATGTACATATCTGTGATAGGTCATATGTTTAGGAGGAGAGAGAGATAAAGACAGAAAGTGTTTGGAAATCAGAAGGAAATTGGAATCTGAAAATTACATAGAGAAGGTTTCAAATGATGTGCAGATTGGCAGGAAATTATGAAACATAGCGAGATGGCCATCTTGTCCTTCGGGAGATAGAGAGGAAGAGTGAATCACAGGGACAGGCTGTAGACCACAGTAGCTTTTCCAAGCACTCGCTGCCTGATTCTTTGGAGCTTGCATCCAGGGTCTCTTTCCATGTCCACCTGGCCCAGAGGCTCAGCGGCGCCAAGCTTGGTCATTCCAGCAGCACACTTTATCCCTCCTCTATCCAAACATCAACCTTCCCCGCCAAACCTAATATCCTCTAGGAACGCCTCATACTCACAGGTCTAAACCTGTCCATCAGGTGTCCCGGGCTGAGCAGCTCCAAGTCTGAATAATCACCTCCCCTGCTCATCCCAACTCTCTCGGTTCCTGAAAACCTTAAGTTTTAACACACACACACACACACACACACACACACTCACACCATAACCTACTGGGCCACCTAGTAGATTTGCAAACCCACAGAATTCCCTCCAGCGGCACTCACCTACCACATTCATAAACTACTTTTTAGCATCCGTTTAATTGTGCACATTCTCTTCTACTCTGTAAAACGTTGGGTTCTTAAGAAGCAGGGACTGGGCTGCACCCCTCACTCAGAGCCTCGCTCAGTGCTGTGCGCACTCTAGGCCTGCAGTAAAAGTTAGTCAGCTGGTTCTGAGGCATGTCATCACATAGCTGCGGGTGTTTTCACCTCATTAAAATAAACACGTGTGACGACAATTCCACGTTAGCGGGATAAACACGGGATATGCTTCTACAAGTCTGTGTGGCAGCTTTTAAATGGTCTGGGAAATCAAAAGTCACTAAGACACTACCAGATGCTCTGAGCTGTGCTTTAGCCCCACCTGGATTTCAGGTAATCAAAAACAACAACAACATGGTTGCATTATGTCACAGGGGATAACTCAGACCGAACCATGACAGCTCTCAGTACAGGTAGGGAATATTAATAATGCATGCGGATATTAATAATAAATACTAAACGTCTGAAGATGCTGCCAATCAGTTGTGCTACCCACCCCTGTTTTTAATGGATGCCACCAAAGAAAATTAAGCCACAAAACCTCCACATTAAAGGCAGTTAATGGCTTAATTTTAATAAGATGAAAGGCAAGGCAGTTTCAAGTCCAGGCGGATCATCCCCGCCTGGCGTTCTCTGGGTAACATTCCCTGTAGGCCACAACATAGGAGTACAGGGGAGTCAGGAAAACATGTCTACGCCGGGACCAGGCAGTGGTGCTAGGCAACTGCGGGGCTGACGAGGGCAAAGGGAGGTCACTTACTCTTCTTCTAAAGCCCAGGGAGGAAGACACCTCCTCAGCCACCCTCTTCCTCCTCCCTCACCGATGAGCCAAACACAGCACACGTCCATACGCTGGAGTGTGCGTGTGGACTACAGGCCTCTAAAGGAAAGTGTGCCTGTCTAGGTATTCGTTGACATTTAAATAATTCTGCTAGCAAACTGCTTCACTTGCTGTAGAAATAGGCATTTTTCCTATCTAAAAGTAAATAAATAAACAAACCCCTAATTTAACAGTCCAGATACAAAGTGCTAAAAGGAAATAACTAAGGAAAAAACAAAAACAAAACAAAACAAAACAAAACAAAACTGGGCTTTATCTGCAAGGCTTCATAAGGTTTTAATAAAGAGAAATGCCGCTCAGTTCAGTCACATCAGCCTCACTCACCTCTTTCTTTAAGATCTAAGGATTCCAGACAGTAAGTTTCTGAGCCCAATTCCCTCTTTTGACAAACTTGTCAGCAGATTCTCTTCTCTGTTTTGCCCTTCTCCCCTCCTTAACCTCCTTGGTTCTCACCCAGAGCCCACCGCAGTCCTGGGCTCCATCACATTGTTCCCCAAAGAGTGAGGCTCTAGCTCCTGTGGGCCCCATCAGCTGCATTAGAAGGGGCGTGATGTCAGGTGATCACGCCTTCCCTGAGGACTGTGAAGAGAACAGGGACCCAGATCTTGGACTTCTCAGAATCAGTGACCCCTTCAGGGTAGCTCCTGTCACTAAGGAAGGTGGCCGCCTTCTCTCCCAGACGCTCTGGGGGAGGGAGGCTCTCCATAGCAGGCTACAAATGCTGTCACAGTGTGGGATGCCGAAGGACAAGTGGTGAGCATGAAGTCGTTTAGAAGCTTTTCCTAATTCCAGTCTTCAGACAGAGATCTCAAAACATCAACACTGGTGCAGCTCTCTATCCACCTCAGTTCCTGGGGAGGTTCAAAGGCTTACCTACACTACATGAACCGGTAGGCTAGAGGTCAAAGGGCTGTGGCTTCAGGTGTGTTGGATCCGGTTCTCAGTTGCATTTTGTGGAATCTGTTGCTGACACACCATCTAGACCCCAGGGAGGGCTGCTAATGGGGAAGCCACTACCCCCTAGTTTTAAGGTGGACAAGAACCTGGTGAAAGTCAGACCCACTGGGTTCTATCTCGGAGCCAGCTGATGGAGAAATGGGAGACAATAGTAATCACTCGTGGACCCAGCACTGGTGTGCTTCAGTCATAAAAGACTATCCTTTTCTCAAGATCCAGAATCCCATCTCAAACCCCACAGGCAATCTAGCCCAAAGTCTGCACAAAGGAAGCAGAGGAGGATGGGAGGCTAGCACCATCCTGCTACGGGCTCAAACGAGAATGCAGAACCAGAATAAACATCCTCATCATCACCACACAGCCACTCGAGTACCTAACACAGAACTGGACTTAATTTAATCATGGGATGCTCAGAGATCTTGCTGAATTCTTAGATCATCACCCTCAAAGCTAGAGGCCCCCTGGCTTCCCTCCTACAGCTCCTGAGCAGAAACAGCCACTGTCATGATCTTCAGCAGGACGGTGCATGTTTGCACCCAAAACCTTGCGTGATTCCATTACATTTATACTGAAGCCATGGGTTGTGAATTCTTTCTCTCAGAGTGACAATTATCTTAAAGAGAGGGGGAGCTTCTGGAGCATTTATGGGGAAAGGCAAGGTAAAGTTTACACTGAGGTGCTCACGGCGTCTGCCCACCAGCTCATCTCTCCTTTAGCTAAGCAAGCAGAAGAGAGCGTCTGGGGTTGAAAATCTTCCCTTTTCCTTCCCACGGGTGATTTTGTTTACCCTGTAAATTCTAGGCATAAATCTTCCTTTAGATAACCATCACTTAAAATATTCTCTTAAAATATTGTAGAGCTGTAGTCTCCTTCCCTTCGTCCTTTCTCCTCCTAGCTTATTTATTCCTTTGTTATGTTGGGAGAGGAAAAGAAATACACACTGGCTGGCCAAGCAGCTGACCCAGGCAGGCCGTGTGCAGCCATTCGTTCCCTCAGCAATCCCAAACTTAAAGGAGCCCACAGACCCAAGGTTTGTTATCCAGAAAAAAAAATCCCCATTGGCCAGAGAACTGGACAAGTGCCCCCAAAACATAGGCCTCATTCCCCATGTTTGGATGCTTTTCTGATGGGCCCAGCTACTTGTTCCCGAGAGGAGGATGGGGGTGGCATATCCTTTGTTCCTCTAAATCCGCTCCTCACTCTACGTCCTTCTGGACTAACGAAGTTGCCTCGGATGCTACCAGCTTAGGTCATAGGCACACACACACACACACATACACACAAGCTTCATTGCTAAGTCCCCAGTGTGGTGTGACTTGAAAGAGGTAGACCGTTGAGGGGGCGGGGCTAGTGGGAGATCCTAAGGTCCCTGGACCTTTGGAGGTGAACACAAGACCCAGTCCCAGTCCCTTTCTCCTCTTTTCTCTTTCTTGCTGTGAGCTTGCCCATGACGAGCTATCTCACCAGAGGCCCTGAAACACTGGGGCCAAACCGACCTTGGACTTGCGCATCTATAACTAGGAACAGAAAACTAGCCTCTTCTCTTTACAAACTGACTGCCTTGGGTGTTTGTTGTGGTCAAGAAGAGCTGGCTAACATCACAGATTTCCCGCTCCAATTGGCTACAGAGGAGCTTGGAAGGACAGGACTTCTGCTCTGTGAAGAGACCGTAACGGTCTGAAGTTACCAGCCGAAGCCATTCACTCCTCCTGCACATATGGCCATGGCTCCCTCCTGCTTCATGGG